CCCTAGCTCCGATTTTGGTCACTGTTCATGTGGACATAAAATCTTGTGTTTCAAGGAATTTTAAGGACATAGGAAACTTTAGGACGTCCTTGTGAGGCTCGGAGAAGAAAAATGGAGTGAATTGGACGTCGGAGGATTGAGATCGAAGCACTACAAGTTTGGCCGAAATTATCGAGTTTGCTCAGGCATGATTGAGTGGATTTCGAGGCTTCAAACAGGTATAACGTCGTTCCTCTCATCTCCAACTTTCCAATGGTTCAAGTTTCATAAAAATGGTGAAGAAATGAAGAAGAGTAAGCGTTTTAAAGATTTACCCAGAAACCAGCGAAGTCGTCGGCCTACGTTGACTCGTCGGAGAAGAAGGTGGCATATTCCGTCAGTTTTGACGAAATATGCTAACGGCGTTAGTTGATGCCGTTAAGAATCTAACAGAATATGGTGGGAGTTAACGGAATATTCTTGACAGCGTTAACTGACGCCGTCAGCATGCCTGGCATATGCCCGCGCGTAGGCGGTGCGTCTGGCCGTGCCTTGGCCGGATCGTGGCGGCGCGTAGGTGGTTGGAAAAATATTCTAAAATTTTGGGAATGATCCTAAGGTTGTGTAGGTCACTGTGGTATATTCAAATACCAAAATTGAGCATTGTATGAGAAGTTATTAGCTAGTTTTGCCTATGTGCTTTAAATAACATTTTTATAGTTAATTCGCATATAGGTGAGACTTATCCTGAGGACAAGCATGTTCAAGGGCGACTCAGGGGTTATGACCCTTCGACATACTAGTGAGTGGGCTTTTGGTTTTCAATATATATTTATATACTTGATGTTTTCCCTTGAATGCCATGCATATAAGTTTATAATTCATATATGAATTTGTGTATGATGCATTATATATATAAATGTGGTGCTATGGACGCTCAAGTAAGCTCAGGTGAGTTATGTTTGGGTATGTGAATTATCAATGATGCGATATGTGATTGAATAATGTTGAGCTCATAAAACTGCACCTAGGGTGATTGTGATTTAGCCAAAGATATGGCACAGTCCTGTCGTATAAACCATTGTATGCTCATATTGGATCTAATTTAGGTGCACAGTCCTGTCGTATAAACCATCGTAGGTGGTTCCGACTCGTAGGTGACTAGCAATTTATCGCCAGCTATTATGTGAAAGTAGTATTGAGCATGATTATATTACACCCATTATTGTCGTACATAACTTTTCATTTGGCTCCGACTCTTGTGCAGTATAGTGTCGTATAGGTCATTGTAGTGACTCCAGTTAGATTTACTTTTGAGCTATGATTTCAGCCGTACAGACTACCGCAGGGGTTCTGGCTAACATGTTATATTTATATGAAATTATTCTTACCTGAATTGCTTACTCTGTTATATCTTGGCATGGCATACATATGAATATGATTATGTGAAGCATGATTTGAATTGATATAATTTCATATATATTTATGTATATGCATATATCTTGATTCTGGGAAAAATTATACATGTTTTACAGCGAGGGGTTAGATATGTTGATAAATGAAATGGTTTTGTAAAACATTTGTTTTTGCCCACTCACGTTTCTTGTTTTGCGCTCCTCCAGGTTTTAAGAAAGCTTACTGTCGATGGCCTTGAGGATTTCGGTGGTTCTGACATATCTAAATAATAGTAGGACATTATTGGTACTGTATAATTAGTACTTGTTCTACTGGACTGCACCTAGACTTATCATGCTCTGATTAGGAGGATTTACTTTTGTAACTGACTCCTAACATTTCCTATTTTCTAGTGCACTCTAGTAGTTTTGGTTTTTAAATATTCGTATATTTCTTATCTTAATTGCTTCCACACTGTGCACATGGCTACGTCACCCTCACGTGATGGCCAGCATGCCTTGATCTCCGGAAGCCATTGAGTTTCCAAATAGGTATAATCTTGTTGTACACTTTCCTAACTTCGTTTTGATATATTATGGGAAAATTTTGTTGAATTCACCCCAGATTTTCGGTTGAAAATCTGAAGAAGAGAAAGAAGGGAAAAAAAAAGGCCTAAGCCCAAATCCGGGCGAACCTTTGGGTCTTTGTTCAAGTCCAAGTCCAAGTAGGAATATTTCGTTAAAGTTAACCGTTGACTATTAGTTGACTTTTATTGACTTTTTAAAAAATTTCCTGGAAACCCTCCTAGACTAATTTTGATGCTCCGAGCCCATTTTTGACATCCATTTAGTAAAATTTCAAGATTTTAGCATAGTTGACCACCAGGGCGTCTTGGTTGACTTTTAGGGATGATATTTTGTAAAATTTGTCGAGGATCCTCCTTAACGTATTTCGACAACTTGATTACAAATCCACACTCCGTTTTCTCAAATTTGATCGTTTAAGTTCCCCAATGTTATGCTTAAATGCTATTATTATTGATGACTCCAGCTTTCCTAGTTCGAATGGCTGCAACCTCGCCAGTATATGTGAGTGGGCCTTTGTTTTTAAATATTATATATTTATATAGTTTCCATTTATATGTTTGAAAAAAGAATCTCTTACGTATGCCTGGATTAGACTAATGCTTATAAAAATTAGCGAAATAATGAAAAATTACGAAATTATCTTAAATCCTACAGGATACATAGGTATGCGTACTTTTATGGGTTTTAAATTATGGTCATGATTAATATTTTATTTATTACTATTATGTCGATGTGAATTATCGAATTACTGTGGCAAGACTATATGTATGTTATTTGCTCATCGTTTGCTGCACCGGTGTTAGTATTCACTTGGGTCAGGGCCAACCTTTCACGTGTATGTGCACATCACACCGTATACTCACTTTGGATCCATTGTAGGACAGGACTGGATCATAATATTCCCCACAGAATCTTATGTTTTACATAATAGAAGTATAAAATAAACTCTTAAATGTAAATTGAACCTATCAATTAGACGGGATATGCATTATATGGAACTAGTTTCAACAATCCAACCGTCAAACTCATTTATATATACTCTAAGATCACATACATAAAAAAATCGCAAAACAAGAACTTTCTGAGATTAGGTAACGAAACAAAAAATTTCGACAATTAAAAACTAAAAATCACAATTTAATAGTTATTTTAGCTTTGTTTTTGTTGATTTTTTACAGCTACAATCTTCAGCCCTATAAGAATACAATGAATGAATTCGATCTTCAATTTAAAATATTTACATTAGTGGATACCATATTTACACTAGTGGGTACCACATAATCTTATGTTATACTCAAGGGAAGTATAAAATAAATTCTTAAGTGTAGATCTTCATAACAATTATAGTGAAAAAATATATTAAGTATTAACACAAATAAATATTTATGTTATAAATTAAATATTAACTAGTTTAACGAATATCCTCTTCCCAGCCTGATGGTGAAGTGCTTGTGCATTAGACCTCTTGGTCTTGGGTTCGAAGGTGCTGTGCTTCTGCTGTTGCCTTTGAATGTGATTAACAAAACATGAAATTTTTTTTTAAAATATAATCATGTCGGATTGGTATAAAAAAAATTTGAAAATAAGATAATATTATATTAGTTATTGATGTCGGCTATATCGTTAGGATTTGGTATAAAAAATTTGAAAATAAGATAACAAAATTTGAAAATAAGATAATATTATATTAGTTATTGATGTCGGCTATATCGTTAGGATTTGGTATAAAAAATTTCAAAAATAATATAATATTATATTAGGTATTTATGTCGGTTAGATCTGTCAGTATTCGTTAAAATCATTTTAAAAATTAAATTTGGTGGAGTTAAGGGCCTGCTGCAGTATTCATGTCAAAAAGTAGTGAATTAATGTTGGTTAGATCCAACGTATTAAATATCGATGATATCGGAAATATTGATAGTTCAAAAATACGAAAATTTCGATGGAAATATCGGGATATTATCGATATCAATAAAAATTGAATAAAAACCACAGAAATTGTAAGAAAAACTTGAAAATTTTTATTGAAACTTTACAGAATGTTTATTTAGTCAATTATCTATTAGTTTATCACAAAAAAGTGGAAGGAAATGCATTGCACAATGGATTTAACTGATTTAAGTTAATTATATAGCAAGCTGGCAAACATTGTGACTGTAGAAAATATGTAGTAATTAATGAAAGAAGTTTAAACACACCATAATCATTTATATATAATGAATTAGTACAATATTTTACACTTTATATATTGCATGATAAGATACATGAGTAACTTAGTACCACATAGAGTTCCTAAGAGGTTCAAAATTTTGACTATCTTCATCATCTCTATGTGTAGAGTAAGTGTATTGTGAAGAGTAGTCATCAAATGATAAATCCCAAAATAGTTTTGCATGTAATTGTTAACATGCCACCCATATGGATCTGAGATTGGTTGATGTTGTCCATAAGCAAATTCATTTGAACACATTTCTAGTAGCTTCAAAAAGCAAGGTGAATATATAGAAGACCAAACCTCACGATCACTGACACGTGGGCTGGATATTTTGAAAGCAGGTTTGGATTTTTTTTTTCTTCTCTTAGATAACACACACATGGGCTGGATATAAGAAATTTCTTATATATTTTATGAATTAATTAAATTTACTATATCAAATGTAAATAATTCTTGACTAATATGTTATTTCTTATAAAAGAATATACATATGTGAATGTTTTATGTATATATATAATATGCTTGCCTATGAAAAAAAACCTAATATTATCTAAATAATTTATAATTTATATAACATATATATATACCAAACTTTTAAAGATATAAAAAACCCACATAATGGGTGGTTTTCATTATTAAAAAGTTAAAACCATCAACCATCCCCTCACCTCTTTAACATTACCCGTCCACTTTTAAAACCATCTCATGGTTTTCAATTTTATAATCAAAACCACATTGGGTTACCTCACTAAAACCATCCCATGGTTTTCAATTTCATAATTAAAAACCCACCTTGGGTGGTTTTCATCACATCACCCGTTTTAATCACATCACCCGTTTTAATCACATCCCATGGTTCTCTTCGTACTCTCTCAAACTCTCTTCCCTCATCTTCACAGTTCATAGACGAGCTGCAAAAATTCCCTCATCTTCACAGATCGTCTCTGCGAATTTCTACAACTTCACAGATCTTCACAGACGAGCTGCAGATTGTCTCTGCAAAAATTCCCTCTTCTTCACTGTGACGACCCGTCTCTAATATTCCTATGTAATTTCTCCCCGAGTATGTGTATTGACGATTATACCCTTATTGGCAAAAGACGTGGACTTATTCTTATCGCTTTCCTTTTTATTTCTCGCTATCGCATTTAAATTGTACACGCTAGTACGAGTAGACGTAGATTTTAAAGTGTAAAAATATCTACTTCGAATAGATTTCGATTTCCTTTTACTGTAGGAAATCTAAAAACCTATCAATTGGATTCCTTTTTATCCCATCCTGTGCACCCCTCTTCATTATTTCACACTCACCTATCCCATCTCTTCTTTATTTTTGTCCCCCTCTATCAGAAAAGGTTCTCTCTCTCTTCTCTCTCTTTCTCTCCCGTATTCTCTCTTCCTCTGCAACGCCATGAACGAACATCAAAGCTCATAGATTGAGCTTGAAACCAATCCCATTTTACTCCTCTCATCCTCACGAACACAACCATACCAACCAAACCAAGAATGGATGAGTTTTGACTCGCCAACTCGGAAGGTCCGAACTCGGACGAGTTGAGTTCGACATGTTTTCAACCGAGTCACAATGTTTTAGGACTTGGGAAAACCTCTACGCAGCTCCCTAGTGTCTCTAGTCAAGGTTTGAGGAAGCTTTGACGTGAAACAACTCGATTTTGAGAAGTTCAAGTCTGACCCGTGCCTTTCGAGCCAATTTTCGGCCAAACTATGGCGAGTTGGCCTGCATGCAAGGTATCAATCTCTTCGTCTCACTGAGTACTATAACTTTCCTTTTTGTTTCACCCAATTGCGTTGAGTATTGAAGAAGTTATACTCATTTGAATCTTACCCAGTTTCCGGCGAGTCCGACGGCTTTCGAGGCGTTTTCCGGACAAACCACAGAGAGTTAGACGTCATGTAAGGTACCATTATCTTCGTCTTTTCGAGAACTACAACTTTCGTTTTTGTTTCACTCAATTTCGTTGAGTAACGAGGAAGTTATTAACGTTTAAAGGTTATTCAGTTTTCTGACCGAATCCGGCCTTCCCTTCCGTTTAACTCCGGCGAGCAGCAACCCAAACCCAGGCCCTTCGAGCCGTTCCTGCCAAGCCCAAAACCCTGGGCAGCCCAACCTAACCCTTTATTATTATTTTATTATTATTTGGTTAATTAAAGGCCTTTGGCCATTTCCTTTTGGGGCTTTAAGCTCATGCATTTTTAAATCTTAAATCCTTTTAGTTTAGGCCTTTAGACCTAGAATCCTTAAGTCCAACCTATTAATCTAACCCAACCTAATAACCCTTAACCCATATGAAATATTCCATTAGGGAATTTTCCATCCGTCAGAGAGTATTTCGTCTTTCAGGGAATATTCATCCTGTTGACTTTTCGGAAATTTAAGCAGGACCCTTCTTAGGGTAATTCGACGTTCTGAATCCGTTTGTGACGTCCGTTTTTTCAAATTCAATTGTTATAGTATAGTTTTGTTAATTGTACCTTTATGTGCTTAGGGGCAATTATTAGTGGCGTTTCCATCTTTGCTAGGTTGCGTGGCTCGTTAGCGGTGAAGTATCTATGAGTGGGTAGTTTGTTTTTATACCTATACATATTATAGTTTCCATAAATGCGTATTTACTTCACTTTTACGCTTATATTGCCAAGTATTTGATATTGCGATATGAAATGTGATAAATGCTGCTATATGGTTGAGATATTATTGTCATGACATTCATACTTGTATACATGCTCATCTTGCTACACCCAGTGTTAGTACTCGCCCCAGGGCCATGGCCAGTCCTTCACGTGTATGTTCACATTCGCACCGTTCACTCACCTTAGATCCAAGCTTAGGTGTCAATCTTGTCAGGTAGATTGCATTAGGCGATCCGACTTGTATGTTATGTGCTTTTGCACCAGTCTTCACGTGATCGTAGTACTAGAGCATATTGATTACACCCAGTTCTGTTCGTGTCAGAAACCATCTGTTTGAACTTGTGTGTTAGCTTAGATGATGAGCAAACTGCTTATAATTGATTATCACATAATTATATTACTTTGGCATTTGATATATCATGACTTGGCATATTTCTAGTTATATTGCAGTTATATTTGATTACATACTTACGTAGTATGTTTTGAGGAAACTATACTTGTTTTACAGTGAGGGGTTAGTATATTCAAAAATAAAGGTTTTCATATAAGTATTGTTTTACTGACCAACTCAAATTGTTTTTCGCCCCTCCAGGTTTAGTAGCGGTGTTTTACACGTATACGAGGATTCTGGCAAATCTCAGGAGATGGTTACCTTCAGTGGTGTAACCCTCAACCTATTTACTATAATGTCTTCTGCTCTGACATCACGTGTGAATAGGGTTCAAACCCGCTCACCTGCACACTCTCTTGATTAGGCACTTTAGGTTTAAATTTACCCCTACCTTCCACATCACTACACTTTATGGCTTCGTCACCCTTCAGGTGTCGGCCAGCACAACTCGATTTGGAATCCAAGTGGACATTCCGGGTCGGGATGTGTTATTCATAGATCATCTTCACAGATCTACAACTTCCGATCTCGTACGAAATTCTGCAGCTCGTCTCTGCGAATTTCTGCAGCCCATTGCAAAAATTGCAGCAAGTTTTAGAACACTGGACTTTTCATTTCCGACGACGGAGGCGCAAATCTTGGGTCTGAGCCTGGATTGCAGAGAGAGATCTGGGCAGCTGCGACGACGTAGCCTCGGCTGCCTTTCCGACGACGGAGCCATGACGATTGTTTCGATAATATCGAATATATCGCGATACTATTGATAATATCGATAATATCGCGATATTTTGACGATAATTAAGGGGATACGTGTGAAAATATCGGTTTCTCTGAAAAACGATAATATCGACGATATTTCGTCGATATTATCGATATTTAATACCTTGGTTAGATCCGACAACAGTGTTTTGTTTTCCGACACTATTTTAAATTTTGTCGGAAATATTTTATCTAACACTAATCATATAAAACCACCACCACCCTCCGACACATTAAGCCAATTTTGTGGTAGTGTTTGATTGTGAATGATTTTGAGCTTTTTTTGTGTCCCTCACATCACATATTCATTCGAGTTTAAATCTTCTGCACTCGTTTTATGTGTGGCCTCTCTATGGATTCTAATGTTAATTTACATGTGTTATGTTTATTGATGTAGGACAAGATTGATTGACGCAACACAAAGCTAGTAAGGATTACAAGTGTAAATCCTTGAAGAATAAATTCTAGAGTCCACCGGTTTGATAGAAATCTCAAAGAATAATTTAATTCATTGATTGAAAGATATTGAATAAAGTTGAAACATCCAATGTACACCTTGGGATAACTCAAAAGCCTTAGGATATTAAAGGACACTAAAACATCATTAATCAAAGGGAAATTGAAAAGTCCACAATTTATAACGGACTTTAAAATGATTCTTTTTCTTTACTTTGCCTCGTAAAAATTCACCCCAATCTTTCAAAAATTAAAAGAAGAATTTTATTCTTCAAGGAGTTCCTTTCAAGTGGAGGTGATTGATATAGGACAATTTGGACGAAGAAAAAGAAGTTGATCCTATGAAGGTTGAAGAAGATATTATGAAATTAAGTTAAAATCCCACAAGAATACATCTATGAAAATCAAGGTATTGTTCAATATGAAAATATTATGATTGACATGTTTGTAGATGATAAAGTTGATATGGTAAAGGCCCAACGGGTGGTGTGGAATTAAATTGTAAGATTGGGGAAACAAGTGAATTTTGAGCTCAAGAAATTCAACCAAGAATAGGTTAGAATATCAAGTTGCATATTCTAATCTTTTATATGGTATTAGTTCATTTGTGATTCCAACCAACTATCAAAAATATTGGGTTCTTTGGAAAACAATTTACTTACTCATCAAGATTCATATCAACCTTTTTCAAGATGAACTTGAGGGTGAGTTATTTACAACTGAAGTTGACTGATGTAGGACAAGATTGGGTGAATTTCTACGAGGAAAACTAAAAAAAAAAAAAGGATGTAATAGCCCGTCCCTAAAACTTATGATTTTTATAATTTTAATAAGTGAGTTTACGAAAATGCCTTTTGAGGCAAAGCGTTGATTTTTTGTTGACCATCTTTTCATGTTGCGTAAGGTTTGTTTTCTTAGCCTATCCTCATAATACTCGTTGCTACGGACGCGTGTGCGTAAACGGAACGCAATTTGGAGTTATAACGAAGAAGTTATTAACGTTTAAAGTTGGGGGCATTTTAGTAAATTGATTAGTTTCAAGAAAGCTCCCGATTTTTGGGGAAATATCTGGAAAGCCACATGTGTGGTCCAGATTAAATGGAAGATAAGATGGGCGGTGGTGATGATAGATAAAGGAAGGAAAGGAGGGCGGGTCACCCAATCAAAAAATGAGAGATGAGAGGGTGAACCAATGAGAGATGAGAGAAAAGAGGGGAAAGGAAAAAGTTGAGGTGCAGCCAACTCGTATCCCATACGACCCGGTTCTTGATCTGATGCTAGACCCAGCTTTCTTCACCATTTTCCGTCATGAGATTTCGGCCAAAATTCGACGAATTACACCAATACTCCTCTTATAATCAACTCCATAACCCTCCATCTTCCTTTTAAACTCAATATTCGATGTGTTTTCACCTAATTTGGTGAAGAACGGAGTTAGGTGCGCCGAGGGTTATGTGGCAGCGATCTGCCATTTCTGAAGCAAATATCGTCAACCACTTCCACCCTTAGACTCTCCATGAACCTAGAAACAAAGCCCAATCAACCTTGGAGGTGTCAAAGCTTGTTTGGAGTCAAATCAAGAACACCCATTTCAAGGGTTTCTGACGGGTTATCATGAAATCAAGGCTTTTCCCGACCAAATTGGCCTTAGTCACAAGTATGAAAGTTGCTCTACTCCATGAGATCTTCATTTCTATGAAGTTAGATAATTTTTAGAAATAGTTGATTTTTTCGACGAGTCGGGGTGGCCACCGCTACCTACGATGGCACGTGGGGCGAGGTGTCCCATGGCCTTCCTAGGTTAAGTTTGAATACCTGGATACCATTTGTGAGGTCTGATTAACGAATTTTCGTCAGTTGAACCTAGTTTCATAAAGGTTCGTCACCTAATTATTATAGCAGTTGACGATCCGACCGTTGAATCGTCACTAAACTTTGACACGTTGTAGTACATAATATTTGAGGATTTTAGAAACTTATGGATCGGGAATCCGACGTATGGATCTTCCCGAATAGGATATGTAAGTTAAGTGTTTTATTGACAAGAATTCTGAGATATGGTTTGATAATTGTTCTAGGCGTCAATTGTTCGTGATGCCTCGATGTTTGTACTAGAGAGTTGTAGCGCAGACTCCAGGTGAGTGGGCTTTTGATTTTCTATGTATACGTATATATGCCTTACGTTTTCCCAGAAATTGTTTAAATGGATTTACGATTTTAGATGCCATGTCAATTACAGTACATTTTAGAACATGCATTAGTATAGTTATGCATATTGTTGTTTGACACTGTGGACGCTTAGGTAAGCTCTAGGTGAGTATATATTGATGGTAGTTATTGTAGTGTGTATGGTTATGTTGAGATGCATTTAGAGCTCGTTATCCTGCACCCCGGTGCTAGTGCTCCAGCCGGTGGCCAGGGCACAGTCTTTCACGTGATGTTCAGCTCCCGCACCGCACGCTCACCTTGGATCCAAGTTTGGTGCACAACCTTGTCGTACAAACCACAATAGGTGGTTCCGACTCGTAAGTGACCCGCGATTTATCGTATAGCCTTCACGTGATCGTAGCACTTGAGCGTACTTATTTACACCCAGCCTTGT